TGCAGCGCAGCCGGCACCCCGCGATCCAGCACCACATGCCCAGCCATACGCGGAGCACCCATGGGGATCTGGAGAAGTGGGACGGGCCGACATTGTGGGCAACGAGCAAAGAGCTCGCAGATTACTGCGCGGCATGAGGAGCCGAACAAGGAGCACTCGATCCACGGAGAATCGAAAGGCAGCAAGTCTCCAACCATGTTACCACGGCGGCGCAATACCGCTTGCTCAGCATCGGCATGGGGGCGGCGGCCGCGGACCCCTGCAAGGTAGGCGCGGGCCCCTGCAAGATAGGCCGACGGACAAAGGCCCCAAGGAGAAAGTTCTGCACAGTCAAGGAGGCAGCATGAGCGCAAGGACACGAGCTACAGAAGCTACACCCGAGATGGCGGCGTACAAGATGCCAATCGGCGGCAGAGCCGGGACAACCAGTCAGGCAATGGCTAGAAGCAGTCAGGCAATTTCTAGAAGTGGCTGGAGAGTGCCGAGGAGCGCTGGGCCTCATCAGAGGCGAGCGCAGAAACGCGAGGCCCAACCACGCATCCATCCAGATACGCAAGAGGCTCATCCAGGAGCCCCCCAAGACGCAATGCCTGAAAGGATGGATTGGGGGCGGAAGATGTGGACGCACCAACAATTTGCAGGATCGCCACAGCTGCATCGCTGCAGGAATGGCGAGAAATCGTTGCACGCCATGCCAGCCGCCCACTACGGGAGGCCGGCGGGGCATCGACCGCATGCGCAGCGGGGGAACCGCATGGGGCAAGGAGGAGATCTACGCTTCCGACGAGCAGCCGCGCGAAGAACCGACCGCGGTAAACGTCGCCCACTTCCAAGGGCTGGGGCCAGGCAGCAGCCAGGTGATCGAACCGGCAGAAGAAGACGCACAGCCATCCAATATGACAGTCCTGACCGCCGAGGAGGCGCCGCGCCCGCAGTCGGCCAGCGAGGCCAGCTCCAGACTAGCCGACCACATGGAAGGCGAAGCGGGGCCGTGGATGAACACAGTAGACAGCAGGGTGTGGGATGAGTACCAGGACAGGTTGGAGCGGTGCAAGCCATGCGCAATTGGAACCACCATGAGCGCACGGTACCAGACGAGACTGAGAGGTGACGGGCCAAGATCAAGAGCCTCACCTCACCAACGGCCGAGAGACGTCTGCGAGGAGGCGCGGATAAATGCGGGGAGATTCAGGCGAAGGCTGGTGGCCAGCACGCAAATTCTCCCGCTCGGCATCAGGCAGCGCGCAGCGACCGCTCGCCAGCATGCTTTCCATCGCCGCAGAGACAGCGCTCAGCGCAGCAGCCAACCTAGCAGCACGAAGAGCCCACAGCCCAGTCAAAGCGGAGGAGGCGCGCGCCTGGACGTCCGAGAACTTACGCCCATTGGCGCCGACATCGAGGCCGGCGACGGCGAGGAGGAGCCGCCTGAAATGGGACAAGGACAGGACGGGGGAGACGCGCGCCGAGAGGGGCCAATTGATGGGGCGACCGTCCTCCAGCAGACGGCGATGTCCAAGTTTCCGAGAAACCCGCCAGGACCATCGCGCCCAAATTTCAGAAAGTACGCGAGGGAAGCCGAGAATGAGAGCTCCGACCGCCAGCGAACCAACGCAAGGGAGACGGGGACCAACGCGCGGAGGTAGAAGAGGCATGGTTGGCGAGGCAGCAAAAGGAGAGGCGCGTCCACGCCGTGGCAGGGTGGTGGTGGCGCAGCCTGCTGGCGCAGTTGGCAGGCAGTCTGCGCGCCCTACGTCCAAGTCGCATTGCAGACGACAACATGCCAACCCCTGTTCAACGCCGTCAGGCCAGAGCAGGCAGCAGTTCCAAAGTCGAGCAGCAGAGGAGATCCGCTGCCTCGCCTGGCTCAACGGCTGCCAGATAGGCAGGCGCCCGAGGGGGGGAGTGGTGGAGGCCACGCGCCAGCGGCAGAAGGCGCAGGGAATTTCTCGGGCGGCACCTTGACGGGGCCAATAGCCCATGTCGGGCCTACGACGATGGCCGGGGCAGGTCATGGGCGGCCCTCGGCCATTGCCCCACGCAGAGCCCGAAGCGATGTAGCGGGTGGGGTCGCGTCCACCGGGGCGGCAGTCAACGCGGGCAGAGGCTGCCCGGGCGGGCGCCGCTCGGCAGATCCGCGGAGCTCTAGGGGACTGGCGGTCAGAGAGCTTAGCCAGGCACCCGCATGCAACCGTGGGATTGTCTCTCAGGTTGAACAGGCTGCGAGCGCTGGCGCGAGGCCGCCCCCATCGGCAGCGAGCGGGGCCTCTGCGCCAGGGCTGCAACCCCCGCGCGCGGCCAGACGCGCGGGGATCGCGTCGGGCCAGAGGCCGGCCGCGGCAGCGCCCGAGGAGACTAGGGCAGGGCTGGCACAGCAGCCATCCGAGGCAGAACCTGAGGAGACCACGGCAACACCAGATCAGAGGCCAGCTACGGCAGCGCCCGATGAGACTAGCGCAGCACCAGGGCAGCTCGCAAGGGGCGACGCCGGGCGAGCCGCGGCCCGCAGGCCAGCAGGCGCGAGACGAGGGCGCCTTGCCAGAGGCCAGCCAGGGCAGCGCCCGAGGAGGCCAGAGCAGTGCCAGGCCTGACGCCAGCCGAGGCGGCGCCCGACGTGACCTGAGCAGTGCCCGGGCAGACGGCCAGAGGAGGGCGCGCGGCGAGCCGAGGCAGGCAGGCCGCGCAGCCGTCTATCAGGCTTCTCCTCAAACGCTGAAGGCCCGTAGCTGCGCCTCATGGGCGAGGCAGAGTCCGAGGGGCCGCGTCGACAGGCGGCAGGCGTGCCGAGGGGCGGTCTGCCCAGAGGCGCGCGGGGCCCACTCTGTGCGCCTTGCCGAGCAGCTCGCGCCTTCGGCATCCAGCGCCATGGAGGGGGATCCAGCGCCGATCCAAGGAACCCGCGCGGATCTCAGAGTTTTTATATTTACGCTAGTGTTGTTCTCCTAGGACAGGCTCGGAGGGGAGGGCTCGAGGCTCGAGGTGGTCGGGCATCTGCGCCGCATCTCGGCGATGTTGCTCCGGAGTCTCTTCGCCGGCCTCGGCTCGCCGAGAGGGGGCGTTCATGGGGCGCTGCAGACCGTTCCGAGCGGCCGGCGGAGGCCCGAGGGTCGCGACTCGGATACCAGACGACGAGGGGCATTGTCGAGTCGGGCACGTCCTTCTACAGGAGGAGCATTCAAAAATAGTTAGGTCGGCAGGGGCGTTTTGCGAATATGTTGGGCAATCGTCAAAAAATCCGCCTGTAGGAGGACATGCCCGACCTAAGGGCACGGAGGGGCGTCGGCGCTGTCGTGGCCCTCTTGCGTAGCGCGTCCTCGCCGAGGAGGCCCCGATGGGGCGCGGCGGTGCGCGGCTGGGCGCCGCGGCGCCGCGGCGCCGCGCCGCCCGCGCAGCGGCGGGCCTGCCTGCCGCGGGCCGCGGCGGTCGGGCGCAAGCTTCGGGCAGGCCAGGACCTCTTGCACCGATGGGGTTAGGGTATAGGGGAACGAAGAAGGACATAAGCATCAAAACTCGGAGGTCCGCGCGTACCTCTGAGTTTTTTATTATTATTATTATTATTATTTTCGTGCTGTCATTCTTCGTTCCCCTGGCGTAAGTCCGGGACGTTGGTTTGCCCGCCTGCGCACGTCTCCACCTGTAGTGCTTTCGCTGGGGCTACAGATTACGGCCCGGCGCCGCGCCCGTCCTGGGAGCATCTCGGGGCGTCTAGGGAGCTTCGCTGGAGGCCTCCTAGGTTTCCCAACAACTGCCCGGCCTGAGTTTCCCGTGGTCGTGCCCGCGCTGGCGCCGTTGGGCTGGAGGGCACCGCTGGCTGCTCTTCGCGCTGGGGCGGCCGGGCGGGGCGCCCAGCCCCGAACCTTTGCGGCTGCTTCCATGGCCAGTGGCGCGCGTTTATGCGAGGGGGGTGCGCGCCACGCAGGTTTTCCCTGCGGCGACGCACGTGCCTTCGCTCGCGTGTCCGCGCGCGCCCGCGTCGTCGTGGCGCGCGAGTCCGGAAAGGATCATGTTTCATTTTGCAAGAAGCAGAAACAAATCCTCACAATGCTTGCTGAGACCTGGCAGCCTGACAGGGGGCGTGTGACGAAGCTCTCGGCGCAAACCTGGACAAGTAAACCAGCGTGCGCAGTGGTGGCGCTTTTGCGTAGTGCATTCCCCCCAGACATGCCCGCATCGCGGAAATTCACACGACGGCTGGTGTTTGGCATTCGTTTTCAGCCCCCAGGAAAGGGGGCCCTTGCCGAGCCCCAGGACCATCAAGCAAGTGCCCGGGATAAAAAACTGGCCATGGAGAAAGGGCAGGGGTTTCCGATGACATTATGATGAACAACACACAGCGTCGTGGCGTTCCTGCGCAAAGCGTTGGGAGGTGCAGGAGAAAATGCCGTTTTTTGCTCGGGCACCCCTCTTTCATCACTGTTCGTTCCCTCCTGCTCTCCGCCCTGAGGGAATGGCGCCTCGAGAGAAAGGGTGCCCCCGAATACTGTCCTTGCTTGCGGCCTCCCGTGGCCCTCCCAGGGCCACGGGACTGTCGGAAAACTGTTCGCGACGGAGAGCTGCCTTTTGGGCCAGCACCCGGGGCCCAGGACGCGTTCCCCTCGGGACCCCACCCTTTCATGCCCATGTTCCTTCCATCACCCTCCCTGGCATCGCTCGGACGTGTGCATTTTTTCCCCGGCAAGGACCCATCGACGAGCATCTCTGTTCCCCTTGCGAAACCCCCCAAAAAAAACCTGCACGACACCGAAGAAGGCACGACGGCGAGCCTCCCGCCGCTGCAGCTCCTCTCTGCAGTGGGGGGCCCATTTCAGGAAACGCCCTGCTCGCTTCCGGGGTGCCTGGGCTTCTCGGTCGTCGATGGTTTTGCGATGGAAGGCGTGGCTTTCCCACGCCAAGAATCAAGGGACGTCCTGGGATCTCGGGGTCGGGTTGCTTCTGCAAAGATTATTGTGGATTGGCCTCCAGTGCATCCCTGGCCTGCACAGAGCGGGGAACGGCCGCGCCAGGACAGGATGGGCCTGGCCGAGTCCTCCGTCATGGAGTGCGCGCGACCACTCTGGGCAGGGCTCCTCTGCAGCAGCGGCACTTAGCAGCGAGGCGGCGCGGAGGAGAGCGAGAGTGAGGATGTGGGGCGACAGTAGCGGACCACACTACAACATAAACATAACAACTCGAAGGTCCGCGCGGATGTTTCGAATCATCGGCGCTGGGGCCCCCTGGCGGCGCCTCCGGCGCCGCCCCTGGCGCGCTCCGCGCGACAGGGAGGGTGGTCCAGCGCGGATCCGAGGAATCCGTATGGACTTCCGAGTTTTTATGGTTATGTCATCTTTCGCTCCCCTAGTCAGAAAGACGTCGGTGAGGAGAGGGGGAGCAGGAGAAGCGAGGAGACAAATGAGCAGGGAGAGAGAGGCGAAGACAGCGGACGAGCGAGGAGGTGGAGGAGGAGCCCCTGCAAAAGGGAAAGGCATCCCGCTGCTGCCCTGTCGGGCCGAAGCGCCACAGTGGATGGCGCGCGGTAGGCTTTGCCAGTATGGCCCACGGGGTGCTCAGTTTGAGGATTAAAATGGCTTCGAGCTCGTGGTGAAGGGTCACCGGTGCCACTGTTGCTAAATGGAGTGCTCACCTGCGTGGTTGTTCATGGAGTTTGGGCTCTCTTGCGCTGAAAGAAGAATAGGAAGACAAAAAAAAAGTATGGCCCACGGGGTGCCTTCTGGAAGGCCCTGGGGCCTGGCGAGGGCCCCCACGGGCCGAGCGTGGCCCACAAAACCTCCCAGCGTGCTCTCTTCGCGACGCGCGCCTGCGGGGGGGGGGGCGGCGCCTGCAGGCCGAGAGTGGCCGAGTGTGCTCCGGCGCCGGCCTGGCGGGGTGGCGGCGTCGGCAGAGGTGCCCCGGGCCTCTGTTTTCTTCTCCTCCTCCTCCTCCTTCCCGACCGCCGTTTTTTTTGTTTTTTGTTTTTTTTTTTATTATTATTTTTGTTGTTGTGGTTGCTGTTGCTGTTGTTACTGTTACTGTTGCTGCTGCTGTTGCTGTTGTTGCTGTTGCTGTTGCTGTTGTTGCTGTTGTTTTTGTTGTTGTTGGTGTTGCTGTTGTTGTTGTTGTTGCTGTTGTTGCTGTTGTTGCTGTTGTTGCTGTTGTTTCTCGAAGGGGCACGACTGCCTCCCCCCCCCTGTGGAGGGTGGGACGCTCGCAGGGAAAAAGCAGACCTGGCGAGACCCATGTTAGGGGAGAGTTTCCCACTGCACGGGCGCAGTGCTTGGCATCGCTTGGCAGTGTTTGGCATTGAGGCACCCGGGGAGCGGTGTACGATTCGGCGCGCGGGCAGGATTCTTGTGTTATTGTTGTTGCTGCATGCTCGCCGAGTCTTCCGAGATGCCTTCAGGGTTCAGTCGGGCCTGTCCCCCTACAGGGGGTTTTCGACGAAAAGTAAAACAGATCCTCCAAAGTAAGATATTCCAAAAATAGCCAGGGGATTATGTTTTGAGTATTGTTTGACCTTTTCGGAGGCATTTTGGGGGTATTTTTTATTTTTCTTCGAAAATCCCCCTGTATGGGGACACGCCCGACTTAACTTTAGGCCGCCCAGTACTTGGTGTACGAGAAGTCGATATGTTTGTACGTTGCTAGGTGCCCATACGTTTTGTGCTTGCTGGTTCTAGATGGTTGGGCTTGACTTGTCCGTCACAGTGCGCGCCACGGCGCCGACTCTGAAGTCGCAGCAGTACCGTCGTCGTCGTCGTCGTCGTCGTCGTCGTCGTCGTCGTCGTCGTCGTCGTCGTCGTCGCGTCGTCGTCGTCTGAGGGCGTATGTCGATGCAGAGGTCGATGCTGTGCTGCTGCTCGCCTTGCAGGTCGGCAGTGGCCAATGTGTTTCCCTAGGCCAGCGCAGTTCTGTTGGTGTGGGGTCGGGTGATGTGTGCTGCCGTCGTGTGTAGCTGTGATGGTGGCGATCACGTCGCGGTGTTGGCGCTGCCGTCGTGGAGTACGTGTTGGGATACAGTACGGTGGGGGCGGTGGTTAAGGAATGTGCCCAGGAGGAGTCAGACACTGGAGGATTCCTTCTCTGATGAGGACGGCGGTGACATCCACAGCTGATCCACGATTGGAGTTTCACCGGCTTCTAGACATTGGCTTCTTGATCCAATGGTTCTTGTATTCAATGCCCTCACCGTAGCTGATGTGGTGGTGCGGTGCGTAGGTTGGTCCAGGCTGGGGGTGAGTAAGGTTGCCTGCCTTTGCTGGCAAGGCAACTTCTGTTGATGCTCATGCCGTTGGAACTGGCGGTCTGCCGTTGGACCACGTGCACTGTGGGCAGTCGCTGCGCCGCTGGCAGGTTCTGTCTGAGCGGCTGGTCTGAGTTCGAGGGGCCCGTGGTGAGATGTTGCAGTGTGGGATGCCGCACCGCTGGCCTCCCAGGTTAGACTGGCCTGGTGCTCGCGAGGTCCGCAGGCGAGGCTCGCTGGAAGCGCCGTGAGACGGCCACGCACTTGCGATCTGGCACGCGAGGTCGCGTTAAGTCACGCGCTCAGGTACAGCGTGCAACGGATCGTCCTGAGAGCTAAGATGCGCGCCACACGGTCTTTCGAGCACTCCTGGCTAGTCGGAAGTGTTGCTGCGACAAGTGCGGGGGCACGTGTGATTCCACGCCGCTAGGAGGAAGAGGCGGAGGACATGAAGAGCAAGAGTCTGGACATCTGGAGGAGAACCCGAGGGAGAACGGGATGAGGAGGACAGGAGGAGGACAGGAGGACTTTGAGAATCCAAAGGCCCGTTCACAAAGGCCTCGCTGGCTGGGGGGCATGAATGGGCCCCTGCCAAGAATAAAGCCGTTGCTGCCCCAGGCACCACGGCGTAGGCCGTAGATCCAGGAGCACCCGGAATTTCCGAAGTTATTCCCCCCTGTTCGGTCTATTTCTTCTCATTCCTCGTCCTCACCGTTCTCCTTTTTCCCCACATCCTGAGTGGGGTTCTTGTTTTCCCAGAACACCCTCTCCTTCCCACCCACCTCCCGCTCCATCTTCCATACAGCACAATATTATTCCTACCACACACACCATACCATACCATAGTTCCTACACACATACCATACCATACCATACCATACCATACCACACCATACGTACCATACCGTACCATACCATACCATGGCGTACCATAGCATACCATACCATATCACACCAATGCCACACCGTACCATACCATACCATACCTCCAGTACCATACCATACCATATCATACCATACCGTACCATACCATACCTACGAGGAGGGTATCCGAAAACCATACTATTTACATGGTTTCGTGCCCCTCCCACCCCTCCAGGGAGGCCCCGCCTGAGCGAGGAGGGTATCGGAAACCATACTATTTACATGGTTTCGTGCCCCTCCCACCCCTCCAGGGAGGCCCCGCCTGAGCGAGGAGGGTATCGGAAACCATACTATTTACATGGTTTCGTGCCCCTCCCACCCCTCCAGGGAGGCCCCGCCTGAGCGAGGAGGGTATCCGAAAACCATACTATTTACATGGTTTCGTGCCCCTCCCACCCCTCCAGGGAGGCCCCGCCTGAGCGAGGAGGGTATCCGCAAACCATACTATTTACATGGTTTCGTGCCCCTCCCACCCCTCCAGGGAGGCCCCGCCTGAGCGAGGAGGGTATCCGCAAACCATACTATTTACATGGTTTCGTGCCCCTCCCACCCCTCCAGGGAGGCCCCGCCTGAGCGAGGAGGGTATCCGAAAACCATATTATTTACATGGTTTCGTGCCCCTCCCACCCCTGCAGGGAGGCCCCGCCTGAGCGAGGAGGGTATCGGAAAACCATACTAGTTACATGGTTTCGTGCACCTCCCACCCCTCCAGGGAGGCCCCGCCTGAGCGAGGAGGGTATCGGAAAACCATACTATTTAAATGGTTTCGTGCCCCTCCCACCCCTCCAGGGAGGCCCCGCCTGAGCGAGGAGGGTATCCGCAAACCATACTATTTACATGGTTTCGTGCCCCTCCCAAGCGGGAAGCGGGGCCCCGCCAAAGCGAGGAGGGCATCAAGAAAATGGGTCCCACGAAACCGTTAATCTCTTTATGTGGGGAACTCCGTTAGCATAATTTCTCAGCATTCCCATCCTTCATTTCCGCCTCCTCTTCCCTCTCGTCATTCATGCTCCTCCTCAGCGTTGCTCCCGTTCCTCCGAGCAGGCACCAGGCTCGGTGAGGGCGTCGGCGTCGGTTGTCGAAGAGAGGAGGAGAAACAGCGGCTGCAAGGTTGGAGGAGGGAGGAAGGAGGAGGGAGGAAAGAGGATGAAAGATAATGGCGGAGGGCTCTTCCTTTATTGCAGACGTTTTGCGAAGGGAGCACGCAGTGGACTAAAGGTTTGGAAGCCGTCATACCCCAAGAGGGGGAGGATGGAGGAGGAGGAGCCAAAGGAGGAGGAGGAGGAGGAAGAGGAGGGAGGAGGGAGAAGGGATGCGGGAGGAGGAGGATTAAGCGGATGAGGAAGAGGAAGAGGAGGGGGAGGGCGAACAGAAAAGCCAGATGCCTCTGGAACGCTTCTCGGAGTCTCCCCGGGTATCTCTTAAGAGCTTCTTGTAGGCACATTGGGGTGTTTTGGGGGCCTTTTGACAGTCCGAAGGCCTCTTGAAGCGTCGTGGGCGCCTCGGGGGAGCCTATTCGAGCCTCTTCAGGCCTCTTGGGGCCTCCTTGGCGCCTCTTGGGGCCTTTGGGGATCAAAGGAGGATACTTTAGCAAGGTAAGCCTTTTTACCGACGGGGGATACGGGAGGCTGGAAGAGGAAACGCTCTAAACCACTCACGCCATGAACGGCTGGTGTTATGTTGCACCTCCTACTTATCCTTCCACTTCTGCCCGCCTTCCTCTCCTCCTGCTACTGTTTAGCTGTGCTCCAGCGCATTCCTTTTGGCTCTGCAGCGGGGGGGGGGCCTCGGTCGCGCGGACCGCCAGCGGGAGGCGCTCGTAGCACGATTTAGCGGAGCGGCTTTCCTCGTCCCTCTTGTCTCAGTCCCCCATGTCCCCATCGTGCTCGCCCTTGTCCCCCTCTTCATCCTCATCTCCCTTCTCGTTTGCGGCCTCCTCCCTCTCCTCGTCCTCCTCGTCATCTTCGTCGTTCTCAGCCTCCTCCTCGTTCTTGTCCTCGTCCTTGCCCTGCTCCTCCTCGCTGCCCGTGGGCAGGCTGAACGGCGGAAGCGCAGCGTCTGATGACGGAGAGGGGCCGCCCAGGTTGTGGAAGTGGGCTGCGCAGCAGAGGCGTTGGGTGGGATTGGGCGAGGCGGGGCCCGATTCAATCGAGGCGCAGCTCTTCCGTCCGCCCCCGCACCTCGGTGTGCAGACCCTGGGCACGTACAGGCTCCGGCTTCCGAGGCCGCACGATCCGCATGTCATGCGTAGCAGCGTCGTGAGGTTAGCCTTAAGTCGGGCTTGTCCCTCTACGCGAGGAATATTCAAAAATTGTCAAAAAATAGCCCAGGGACGATTTTTTAGTATTTGTTGACCATTTTTGAGAAATTTTTGACATTTTTTAATTTTTCCTCGAAAATCCCCCTAGGGGGACAGGCCCGACGTGAGGTCAGCCGCACACCATCCAAAAACCATCTTGGGGTGGATGCTCGCGGTTTTCGCCCCGTGTCCGCCGTGGCCGCTTTGTTCGGCTGAGCGCAGAGGGGGGTTCAGGGGGAGGGGGGAAGGCCTCTCAGAAGCCTCCCTGCTTCTTAGAAGGCGCGGGCCTCGTCTGCAGATGAGGGCCGGCGCCTTCTGAGAAGCAGCCTCCTTCAAAAAGCCTGTCCCCTTCCCCCTACCCCTTTGTTCGCGCCGCCAACTTCTAGCCGCGCTGTGCGTTGGAGTGGGTATTTAGTGTTTTTGTCCGCGGGCCGCCCGCAGCTGTTTCGTGCCCACCCCATGTGCTGGCTGGGTGTTCCTAGTTTTCGCCCGCTGGCCGTCCGTGGCAGCCTCGTGGCCAACCCGTGTGCTGACTGGATGCTCCAGGTTTTCGCTCGGTGGCTGTCCGTGGTGGCCGCTTCGAGGCCGCCCCGTGCTTTGGCGCGCCTTTGAAGATGCACGCACTCGCGCCACATGTGTTGCGCCATACAGAGTCCTCCAAATAAAGAGTGGACGATCGACCCCCCTGCCCAGGCCGGACTTTTCCATTCCCCTTCGCGTAATTTTTGCGTGTCCGTATTTGACGTGCACAATCGTCTCTTTACATGTTGCACAACGCTATGCCAGTTGACGCGCTATCGCCTCCCTCTCACTGCCGTCATGTCACAGCGCCTTGCAGTCGCGTTGATATAACAAGCGCGTTTTGCCAGAGTTCCCATCACCAGATATCATATCATGCTGGCTAGATCCGCGCGCCTCCGCACGGGCATGGTCAACATCATCCAGGCATCAGTGTTGGCAAGAGGAGCGCCATGTGCACATCTTCAGAGACGAGCAGCACCCCTCGGCTTCTCCAGGCACAAATTGCCAAATCCTTGCGAGCGCACACACGTTTGAGCCATCGGGAAGCTGGGTCCGCCCGCCCCTCCTCTCCCCCCACCCACGCCCACGCGCCCGCGCCTGGCGCGTGGGGATTTGGGAAAGGTGTTGGGGTGAGTTGTGTGTGGGTGGGGGCGCTCCGCGCGCCAGGAAGGGGGGTCCAGCGCCGATCCGAGGTTTTCGCGCGGACCTCCGAGTTTTTATGCTTCTATCATTCTTCGTCCACCTGCAGCAGGTTCGCGTCGTGTCGACCCCAGCGCTGGTTCCTGACACCGCAGGGATCGGATCGTTCAAACTTGAACGATCGGCCTCCTCCTCCTCCTCCTCCTCCTCCTCCTCCTCCTGGTCCTCCTCCTCCTCCTCCTCCTCCTTTCAAAAAGGCCGGATCGTTCCTGGATGGGCCGACTCTTGGCCACAGGCGGCGTTCAGCACGAAGCGCCCGCTCCGGGGTCGCCGCCGGTCGACACGGCGCGAGCTTGCCGTAGACACTCATCGCGCACCCGCCAACTCCGTCGGAGAGTGCAATGCGGGCCACGCGCACACTAGCGCGTCTCCGCAAACGCGCGCTCGTCGGAGTCCTTCTGAGGCCGCTGGTGCCATCAACATTTCAGCCCGCAGGCGTTCGAATACGTTTTAAGTCGGGCATGTCCCTCTACAGGAGGAATATTCCAAAACAGTCAAACATTAGTCTAGGGACCGTGTTTTGCATTTGTGCTAAGTATCGTTTCGCATATGTAGGGTGTTGTACTGTTTTATTTTGCGTCCAAAATCCACCTGCAGGGGAAATGCCCGACCTAAAACTAATATGATATCACATGGCCCTTCAGTTAGAAACTTGTCAGGATGTCTGAATGTCTACGCGCGCGCACACTCTTTCACCATCCGCATCAGCACCATGGTGATCGTCGTCGCCAGCGTCAGCATTGCCACCGTCATCGCCATCACCTTCATCACCGTCCTTAGCCGTTTGGGCTCCAGTGGTGCTCGGGGCCGTGATCATTTCATGAAGGCCCAGCCTGCGAAAAGGGCCAGAGCCTGTGCGCTGCTTCTGTGAGGGCCTCCCTCAGGAGGAGGAGGAGGAGGAGGAGGAGGAGGAGGAGGAGGAGGAGGAGGAGGAGGAGGGGGAGTGGGAGGAGAGGAGGGAGGAGGAGCAGGAGGAGAGGAGCAGGAGGAGAGAGGAGGAGAGCAGGAGGAGGAGGAGGAGGAGGAGGAGGAGGAGGAGGAGGGGGCTGGAAATGCATCGCACATCAACATCCCTCGGGTAACGGGCACCTCGCCGATGTCGGCGTGGAGGAACTGCTCGCGCGCCGGCAGGAGGCGCTCGCCCGGGCGGTTTGAGCTTGTTGCTCTCTCTCTCTCTCTTCCCTCTCTCTCTCTCCCTCTCCCTCCCTCCCTCCTCTCCCTCCCTCCCTCCCTCCCTCCCTCCCTCTCTCCCTCTCTCTCTCTCTCTCTCCTCTCTCTCTCTCTCTCCCTCTCCCCCCTACTCTCTCTCTCTCTCTCTCCCTCTCCCTCCTCTCTCTCTCTCTCTTTGTTGTTCTCTCTCTCTCTCTCTCTCTCTCCCTCCCCCTCCCTCCCTCCCTCCCTCCCTCCCTCCCTCTCTCCCTCGTTGCGCCTTGAGCGTTGTGCAGTTGCAGTGGTAGCAGTAGCTCCAGTTCGGTGCTACGGCTGTTTTGCTGTGGGTGTGTATGTGTGTGTGTGTGTGTGTGATCCGCTCGGGCGCCATCGGTGCCATCGGCGGATGCGGCCCGAGCGGCTGCGGACGACGGCGCGGAACGGCACGTGCGCGGAGAGCGTCGTCCCGCTGCGCGAGGCCGACCGCTTCGGCGTGCGCTCTCTCGGCGAGGCGAGCACGAAGCTCATCAAGCGGACGAGCCTCGAGCCCACTCCCGACCGCGAGACTCGGAGGATCTGCCGCGTCGCGGCGAAAGGCGAGGGGAGGTTTCTGTGGGCGGGTACATAATCAAAAAAACAGCAACAAAACACAAAACCAAAAAAACACGCGCGGGCCCCTCGCCGTGCTCGAGGCGACGCCGTACGAGGCCTCGCTCGTCTCCAGGAGCCTCGGGCTCCCGCTCCACGTCGCGTGCGTGGAACCTCGGTCGGAGCTTCGGGAGCGCGCCGACCACGATCACCAGCGGGCGACGCTCCTCGTGATTGGGCCGGGAAGCGGCTTCGCGCCGAGTGGCAGTCCCACGTGGGCCCCGTGGTGGTCTGGCGCCCAGACAGCGCGCCCGTGTCGTCTGACGCCATGTGCACCTTGCCAGCACGTTGGCGGTTGCTGCGCGGAGGGTGACCCCCGCCCAGAGCGGGACCTCACGCCCGAGGCGTGGGCTCGCGCGAGAGGCGGAATCCTCGAGGCCCAGCACCTCAACCCCTTCTACGCGCAGCACGACGAGGAGGAGGTGGAGCGAGGAGGAGCAGGAGGAGGAGGAGGAGGAGGAGGAGGAGGAGGAGCGAGGAGCGAGGAGCGAGGAGGAGGAGGAGGAGCGAGGAGCGAGGAGCGAGGAGCGAGGAGCGAGGAGCGAGGAGGAGGAGGAGGAGGAGGAGGAGGAGGGGTTACGGAGTTACGGATATTGCGACCATGTCGGTTACGATTAAGCCCCGCCCGCTCAGAAAACCTCGGAGAGGAAACGAAGCTATCACTACGGCTGAAAGTTGATAAACGAATAGCATTCCATATCATTGCGCGGTTGACCAATCACCGCGAGAGAAGTGGCCCAGAAATTATTTGTACGGAAATGGATGCAGACTGAATTGGACAAAACCACACCAGCAACACCGATAAGTACAGCGAGAAGCCACTGACCACTTGAACATTGAGAGCGGTTGACGTATCACCGCAAGGAGAAGAGGCCCAGAAATTGACTGTACGGACATGGATGCAGACTGGAATTGACCTGGAAGGACAACGCCACACCGTCAACACCAATAGGTACAGCGAAAAACCAAGACCACAAAATTCGGCGAACGCATCGGGCCCGCCAGCCCGCGATGGGATGCTCGCCAACGGCGAACGCATCGGGCCCACCGCGGCATGGAGAGGATTGCTGGCGGGATGCTCGCCCAAACCAGAAATCGACTGTACGGAAAGGATGCAGAATGAATATGACAAAGCCATACCAGCAACACCGACAAGTACAGCGAAAATCCACTGACCACGTGGAGATTGAGTGTACGGACATGGATGCAGGATGGAGGTGACAAAGCCACACCAACAACATCAATACGTACAGCGAAAATCCAGTGACCACAAACCTCGGCGAACGCATCGGGCCCGCCCACCCGCGGTGGGATGCTCGCGCACTGCGAACGCATCGGGCCCACCGCGGAGGGGAAGAGATTGCTGGCGGGATGCACGCCACGGCCTGCTGACCATTGAGAGTGGCCGAGAAATTGACCGCACGGAACTGGATGCAGACTGAAATTGACAAAGCCACCAGCAACACCAATAAGTACAGTGAACATCCATTGGCCACAAACAATATAAATACGTCTGCCTTGCGCTGGCCAGGCTCAGCCAAACAGCGGAATCCCAAACCAGTCTTGCAATACTGCGAAAAGGCCCAAACTAATCTCACATTTGTGGGCATTCCTCCGTCCCGTTGCTCTGTGCACCTGCTCCGATGGCCGCCCAATCGATAGGTGACCCCGTCGGTACAGCTGCGCGCGAGCCCGTGGAGGACCCAGCCACTGTGCGACTAGCCACTGGAACCCCGCGAAGAGCTTCTGCATCGCGCAAAAGACGCATACGCTCCTCGCTGTGCTCCCAGTTGCGGGCTGAGGCCTTGGAATGCTCCTTTTTGGCGGGCTGCTGAAATTCCCGATCTGAACGACTTCCTGCGGCCGCCTCGCTCTCGAAGGGAAGCGGTCCACCTGAGCATCTCCAGGTCCCGTTCCTGAACGTACTGGTCTATAGCTGCCTGCTCCAAAGTTTGCCGTTTGCTGAACTCGTCGGCGAACTCTGATGCCGCCACCCCCTCAGAGCCGTCCGCGGAGGGTGGGGGTGGGAACCCTCCCGCAGGAAACTGCTGGCACTGGTCCTCGGCGGACTCGGAAGCCTGCGTGATGGGCGGCGTCAGGGCCTCCTCGAACACAAGGCGCTCCGCTGCTGGAATGGCGTCCTGCCCACTGCGCGGCGTGCCGGTGCCTCGGGGCACCCCCGCAGGCGGCTTGCAGCAGGAAGAAAAGGTGACAGCTCCACATGTGCATAGCAAACCTATATCCTGCAAAAGCCCCCTTGCTGGGGGGATTGGACACCATCGTCCTTCACCAGGCCGAAAAACTTCAGCCTCGGCGCTCAACTCTGCGACAACGCCCTCGGGTGATGTTGGTCGCGACGTGTGAGCGTTCTGCAGCTGATTCTTCAACGCAACAATTTCTTGCCTTAACTTCTGGATGAGTCGATCGGCCGATGCCCGTGCTCCAGCACGGCCGCTCACGCCAGTCTTAGCGCGCCACACAAATGGGCCGCTTCCCGTAGCCAAGCTAACCATTTTCCCTGTCTTCGTCAACCCAGTTCCTGCTCACACAGAGGAGAGATTGAGAAGTTCCTCAAGCGTCGCGAGAAGGCGCAGGGAACGACATGATGCAACCGTGAGCCAAAAGGGGGCCGACGGATGGATCTAAGCCGCATGTGCTTGAGGAGGAGGAGGAGGGGGAGGAGGAGGAGGAGGAGGAGGAGGA